AAGCCTGATGTATCTCCGGCAATATGTACAAAGTCGTTCGGAATCGTTTCACAGCTTTTCAGATGAATGGAAGACTAGTTGAAAGACAATAGAAAGTAAAGAATAGAAGGAAATACAATTTTCAGAAATGAACATAAAAAAGAATAGCAAAAAGTTCTCGAATAGAAAAATCAATGAATGAGACGAAAGATTGAAACTCACAGTGTCTTGTATGAATTTGTAAGCTTCTGCTCGTAAATCGCGTAACGAAATCTCTGGCGAATCAATCGTCAGTGCCCGTTTATGGATGCCGGACTGAAATAATGGAAGGGAATGATTGAACCCAGCTAAACTGCAGAAGAATTGAAAGTCTCTTAGAGAACAAATGGCTCTGGAACTCGAAGGTCACGGCCTATGACCGCAATAGCCTGATGAAGCCTAGCGCTTTTTATGTCGCTGTAAAGAGACCCTGCGAACCTGGGTGGGGCGGATTATGTACATGCATAGTAAACAACTCATCTAGCGTCTAGCCAGCTATGCTGACGGAAGCAGTTGATCCAAGAAAGGCAGGATTCGTCCAAATCGGGAAAACATGGTGGAGTGCCCCCCCCACTTTTGTCATTTTACAATCTCAGCGGGTCAGTTGCTGGGTTTTACTTGTTTTGCGCCTTGTGAAGCGCAGGTACGGCTTTCTGCATTTATAGGTCTTCTCTTATAGGGATCTCAAGTCCCATGATTTCATCAGAGAAGGAGCGGCTCCTTTGTATGCTACAAGATTCCACGCTTAATGACACCAAATGGAGGCGATCCCAATCAATCGCTTGCCAAAAACTCTCATCCAGGGCATGCCATCGCGTTGTGATCATTTCTTAAAAAATAAGACCCCCTCTAATCCCATCATCAAATTAAACTCTTCCCCATGCTCCTAAACAACTGGGGTTCCGGTAGATTTCCTAACGCTCCTACCGGCTTCTTCCTTTTTTCCCGGCGGAAAAATTTCCAGTTTTTCAGCATATGAATTTTCCAGGTGAAGCGGAGGAGGGGTAATATATGCCAATGTTAAACAGGAAGTTTCTAAAGATTTTGCCCTAACCTCTCTACCGAGTTTTTGCGAGAATTCCCGGGAATTTCTTTTTTTGCCCAAAATATGCTTTGTCGATGCGAGGGGGGGGGGGGGAGGGTCGTTAAGATTTAAGCTATCACTTCTCAACATGTCGAAATTAGTGGTTATGTAGATGCTTGTTAGCACTCCCGTATGGCGAACCACCGACGGCTAATTACGACCCCCCCCTCTCTCATCGCGGGTCAACTACGACCCGCAGCCGGCGCCGTTGTGATCGTCCAGCAACGATGGGCGTGCAACGGTCGCACAATGACCCTCCATAAGAGAAGCTGTGAAGCTCGCATTTTGGCAAGCATATTACAGATACTAGAAGTCTGACTGACAAAAGTCCACCTCTTAATGCTTTTTCGGGAGGTATCCTGATTTTCCTCTACCACGTTCGAACCACAGCAGTAAGTCTAGGAGGTTGCTGGGCGGAAGAAGGGCTCGTGTCAGGGGGGAATGAGTATGGCGCGGGCTGAAGCCGTTCTACACCAATTGTTGAATCGCGTATTACTCGTTTTCTATGAATTGCTGTCGCATGGTCTAACTAGAACATAAGCAAGCCAGGAGATGGTCCAGTTTTCAATTTTTATTTTATTGTGAACTCTAACTACACTTTCAACTTTCGAACTCTTTTTTTTTTCTCAGAGGGTGCTATCACGCAAAGTTCCGCATAGAAAAGTTCTTTTTTATAAGGTTGCATGTCCTAATTGGGTCAAAGTTTTTTGCCCACAGGTGAGCAGCCTTGCGATGAATGTGTCATTTATATGAAGAAGTTGTTGAATAGAATCAGTAATGAATAACTCACCTGGAGCTGGAAAGTAAGCCCGTTCATTACTGTCGATTGAGTGAGATCCAGAGCTTGATAATAGGTGTCCTTGTGACTGTAACGACTGTCAGTGTAGCATGCTCTGAAAATGCTAGCTATTTAGGCGTCGTTTCAAATTACAGTCACGTAGCATCACTTTCAATAATCTTTAGCACTGACTCCAGCATAGGAAATGATACATGGATCGCATATACCAGAAAAAAAGCAAAAATAGGATTGTAGAAAGGTGGGGGGTAGGGGGGGGGAGGAATTTGAGAATTCTTCACTGCCGAACTATTGCTACCCTATAATCGAATATTTTGCTGGAATACCGTTTGTAGGAGTTACTCCATGCTCTTAATCGCACTGAAAATTTTTGCTGGAATACCGCTTGTAGGAGTTACTCCATGCTCTTATCTCGACTGTGACAGTCGCTTTTGGCTCGGGCTCCGTTTAGCGCCAATGCTGCTAATTCGTATCC